ATACATACATACATACATATATTTGTTTGTTTGTGTGCATGTATGTATGTATGCATTCTTACCTTTGTCGACGTGCTCGAATCTGCAATTGTTTCCATTGTTACAACTTCCTCGTTGTGACCAAAACTTACAGATTGCCATCGTGAGTCTATAGAAGACAAATCCTTAGTTCAGCTCCAATGTGTCCTGCCTCCCTTCAAGTGCTGCTAATTGTACAGTAAATGATCTCCAGATTTTACTTCGCCTACTACTATAATGTGACCATTTTGTTCGCTTGTATTTATTAACTTTAAACAACTGCGCGTTCCAACACTACCTATATGTTTTTAAAAAGCTGTTACTCACAGGCAGCCATGACTCAGCTCAAGCCTCAAAGTCCCAAACAGACGAACACCACATATTTATTTACATCGCAATATAGTAACTCTTGGCGCCCGCCGTTTTCTCTTTAGCAAAACCCAGTGCCTCTATGGTGCACTCGCGTATAGATAGGGTTGGGAAATGATCCTGCTTCGAGTAAGTAAAAATAAAGTATAGAACCATTAATACTGGTCCGATCAAAGAGTTTAAATGTTATAAATAGCATATAAAGTTGCCGGACTACTTCGATAGCCGGACAAATAGCCGGACCCGGAATCATTTTTTGGATTTTTGGGTCAGATATCTTAAAAGATTCCGGACAGTCCAAAGATAGGGCCTGTTTGATTTAGGTGGGGGGGGCGTAAAATAATTTAGTAGTACAAAATATATTAGCAAATGCACACGTATATATAAAAGTAATATACAATATATTAGCATATACGCACGTATATATGATAGTAATATATAATCTATTTGCATATGCACACGTATTTATATATATATAATAGTAATACACAGTATATTAGCATATGCACACGTATGAATATATGTACATCACTGCGAATGTCAGGGTATAGTTCATACCTGTTATTTATATCTCTTTATCGCCCTCTCTCGTGTCGAGCTGATGCGCGGGTGCCGATAAGCGTTGTAGCTTTCTTCAATTACACAGACGAGAATGATTACAACGTAGCGACAAAGCATATAAAAAGTCTAAGGCCCTGAGGGGAGGCGGCAAACAACGTGTAATATAAATCACGACTGGGAAGCCGCGGGGACTGAAAGTGTGTAATCATGGGGGTAATTTAATTACTCATATTCAAACTAAAAGTAGTAAAAATGTCTCAACCAGTACACGCCCTTAGCACTATCCCCATTGTCGCCGCCTCCGGACCAATCCCTCCCCTCTTATGGATATAACCGATACCGACGTCGGCTGTATCACCTACGCAACAAATCCCGCGCGCGACTATTACAAGCCGAAATCCGGGCGCATCAGAGCCTACTACGGAATCAGTATTATCCCTACTACGGAATCAGTGGTGCCATTGTTTTGTATGCTTATGTGCAATCTTTGGTCTCGTGGGTTGGGAAGTAAAGAATAAGGCGTTTAAGCAATATCATTTGCATTTATTAACAAGGTTTATTCATTAGTGTGTGCATTCACAATGTCTACCCATGTCTATCATGTTAGCTTCCAACCATCCAAGCTTTTTATAGTTCTTCATACATCTCTTGTACCTTGTTGCCATTTGTAATTATTAATTGGTCGACATGGACGGGTTGGGATTGCTGTGCTGCTCGAGCTGCTGCTTTTAGATGATTGCCCACCTCCTCTGGATTGCCCCAGTCCGTAATGACTAGTGATTGGTATCGTGATGATTTGAGATATTGCCAATTAATGGACTCTCTCTCAGTGTCTTTGTATTGTTTCTCTAACTCAAACATTGTGCAACGCAGTCGTGCTGCTCGTACTCCAACATTCATGCGAGTGTCATAGAAGTCACTGAGCCACTTCTATAGTAGATAGTCTACGGGAGTGCGACACAAGTTGTCAATGATTAATATATTGTAGTCTTCTACATCAGTGAGGTATTTCCAAAGCTGTTTGGGGCTACGTATATTATAAAGTGCGGTGCGCGATACCTTTGTTGCATCTGTTTGTCTGAACAATTCTTGTACAAGTGATAGATACTGTACAAATAGCATGTTTGTGCTCGAGAACAAGTCTTTTGCTAAAGATACAAACTTAATTGTATCACGAAAATTAGCCATGCTGACATACTTGTGTGCTGGCTACTTGGGGAGCTCACTTGTCTTGAGTAGCTTGTCCATCTCTAGTTCTGAGATTTTATCCCCTACATTAGATCTAATTAGAGTTAACTCGCTCATAAAGCCACTGATTGCAATACAGTCATCGTGATCACTTTTATCACAGTCCTTCATAACTTTATTGTATAGCTCTGATAACCCATGATCTACCTCTGGTATCAATCTATTAGGTTGTTGGATGTGAACTGCATTACGGATTTTGTGGAGTGCTCGTATGTCAATGGGGTCGTCCGCCTATTGTGCATACAATTTGTCCACTAGAACACCAAAAATATAGTCATTGCCTTCATAGATGGTTTTGTCGATGACTATGTTGTACTTACTCATTGCTGGATCTAATGGATCTTTTGTTGGTTAGAGCTCATCATCCATGTGCATCTATCCCTCTACCTCCCTCTACATTGTGTGGAGTATGTACAAGTAGAGGTGCCTGAGGAAGCTTGGGAGACTAGCATTGTGTGTGTAGCTTCTGGTCGAGTTCTAATTGTACGATTTGTACTGCCTCTTGTTTGTGTTCGGCTTGAGCTCACTTGTATGAGTAGGCTCCTTCGTACTGCACGTGTTCTCTGATATGGAGCAGAAGTTGAGTATGTCACGATTCTGTTAGAGTTTATTGGTTATTCATTGACCTGAATTGTGTCACTCCTTCATAAATATACTCTTTGAGTCACATGTGACTAATTACCTTTATTGGTGTGTCCCTGGTAGTGTCTGGCGACTGTGTTGGCTGTGAGTCCTTGTGCTTGATTTGCTTGAACTTGGCTGTTTTTTGATATCTGGGTTTATTTGGAGGGTTTTTGGTTTTTGGTATAAACTTAGGTTTACGTCTGTTTATGTGGTGTAAGCTCGGTTTCCCTTGTTAACTTTGCTTTATCGGTTTGTAACCTTGGATTGAGGTTTATTAGTTTTATTTATAATTTTGTGCTATGTTCGAGTTCCGAACTTCTATGAATTTTGTCGAACTTGTGCGTGTTCTAGGTTTTGTACTTATAAATATGTTTTAATTTAGTGCGCTTGTACACCTCTTTGTGTTCTGAGCACTCTGAAAGCGGAACACCGGGATCGTCGGCAGTGATACCGTTCAAGTCGGCATACGTGGCTGGTTTCGTCTTGGTTACACGCTCTAGATGATCGATTAGATCGAGTTTTTCTTGGAGTTCTATGCGCATGAAATCAAGCTTAACCCGAAGAGTACTAGGATTGTCAGTCGATTGGTCTGTTTGTTCGTATAGACGTGATTGAGCCTTTGTAAGACGGTTGGAAAGTTGTGCGTGTTCTGTTCGGAGTGTTTCGTGTTTAGCTAGGAGTAGTTTATGTTCTTCCCCGAGTTGCTGATTATGGCGTTTGAAACTGTCGAGCTCGGTCTGTAAATCTTGATTGTGTATACGTGCGTGGTACAGGTCGCTCGTAGCAAATGTCACATGTGCTAAGGCGGTAGTTATAGAGGCGTACACTTTCTGGCGGTCTATACGTAGTTCGTCGATAAGTTTACCGAATGCGATTAAGTGTGTATTAGCAGATGCAAGATTGCTGTATACGGGATATTGAGGCCAATAGTCACGTGCGAATGCAAGTACGGCCTCTAGAGTGTCGAAGTGATTAGGCCATCGGACGATCTTCGGACTCGCCATTGTGTGATTTATAGATTGTATCACCAACGTGTAGAGGTGTGGAACTTACGTGTGAGTCGTGTCTTGCGACTGCGAAGGTGTATGTAAGTTAGCAGATGTAAGCAACTGCGTGCGTAGTGTTTGAAGATGCAAGCAGATGTGTGTGTAGGGTGTGAGAAGGGGTGAGGATGTATGGTTGAATATGTATTGACTTGCTATCGTGTGTTATATAGGCCCATAACCTGTTAGAACATAATAATTACGGAAGCAGTATGCTTTATTTTCCCTCTTCTGAGGGTTCTTATATGACTCTAACGCTTATGGCGGGAATCTCTGGATTTCTTACTCCGGTGTACGCCTGTCAGTTCTAGTACCGAACTGTATGTTTGGTATCAATTGGCTAGCCAATTTGTAACAAACAGCACCGGTGTCTATAGCGAGTCTACACAAGATGACAGTAGGCATTCACGATTACAGCCAGAACGACGTATGCCAATTGTCGATGCAGAAATCATAAGAAGATAATATTTAGCTATCAATGAGTGTGATGACGATGAGGAGGATGAACTAATCCAAATCAATAAGTACATTAGTGAGTTAGTACTCATACATTCACGCTTAGGCGATCGGATCAATGGACCTGCACTTTCCAAAACACTAAAACTTCAGAATTTCCGAAGTCACCTAGAAACAGTTATTTCGAAATGGAAAATTGTGAAGACATCTATAGAGTTTACTACACAATGCAGAGACCTATTGTTAGCCAAGTCTATGCCATTATGTCAGTACCCAGCGCTAGTGAGATATCTATTAGACTCTACTGATGCAACGGAGAAGACCAAGGCAGTGCTCAACGATTTACGAGACTCTGAAACACAGATGATTATGCACTGCAAGAACCCTGGACAATTCAATTGACAGACTCAGATATCATCCAATAGACTATCTGTTAGAGAAGTTTCTCAATGTCGTGCAGAATAAGACACTGAACGTGATGTTGCGCACAGAGCGATTGCATAGAACAATGCAAGCGTTCGAGAAGCGCTACCGCAACTCAGACAAAGAACCTATACACACGAAAACCCTCAAGGTCATAAGATATCATTCACATACGTACTACGGACGGAGAAAGTGGACGCTATCATCAAAACAGACAAACTTCTTGATGGATGTGAAGGCCACTTATCCGATAGAAAACACACGGCGTTTCACTCTCTTACTGTAACAACAATACGAGTAGCAGCCAAAGTACAGGCATATTGTTTGTATATAGAGCGCATGAGACACAACTTCCAGGCAGTCACACACAGCTAGTTTCATTAAAGTACAACCACTGCGACCAAACATCACAAACCAGAGAACGGCGCATCAAAACAACCCAAATCAATCGGACAACCCCAAGAGAATACAGAGGCACGCGAAGATCGTGTATGTTCTTATTGTTAGGTGATGCCAGCCCCATATCGACTCAGTTTATGTCATATGAAGGTATCAAACCAGAACAAGCAGGCTGAGGAGCGTGTCAAGAACGATGTGCAATTAGCAATACTATCCATCACCTCAGGAAATGTAGAGATTATGATAGATGGCGAGAAGCTCTAAAACAACTGGTGGGCGGAAACAAAGATGATTGACCTGGTTGACAGGCTTAATGTAAATACAGATGAAGAAACGTTGTTAATAAATGCACGAGACCAACGATTACACATTGACATACAAATTAATGGCAACACCTACAATATACTAGTAGACTCTGGAGCGCAACGCTTATGTATGGACATGAGTACAATAACTGAACTCTATCTCTCTGTCAGAGCGCGACCGGACTATATACAACTAGCACAAACAGATGCAAGAATACAAAGAACAGGGTTAACACAAGTATGTGACATTGATTTTGGAAGAATGAAAAGAACAGGGTCAACACAAGTATGTGACATTGATTATGGAGGAAGGAAAACATCTCAGTGTTTCGAAGTATTGAACCTACCAGACAAGAAGGCACCAATACTTCTAGGTATGGACTTTCTACCATACATAAGCATATACATAGCGATTAATAAACCCACTTATACCAACATATGCAAAATGGAAATCACTACTCACTCCACACGAGGAAGAAAAAGTGCATGAACAAGAAGGTTTTAGAGAGTCATTGTCAGACCTACTAGATACCAATGCGAATATACCTCCTGACGTACATTGCAGCCTACCAGGCTCTACAGTCCAAATACCTGCAAATGAAATAATGTCAGGCAAATGAGACACGCCAAAGTCAACTTTATACCACACAAGTATATCCCACAAACTGATGAAAATGTGAAGAGGTGGCTTACAGACGGCCACATATACAAACGAATTACCACCAACAATGAACCTGCCATTGTTATCAACGGGTGAATATGAACAATCAGGTCTCCTCGAGAAAATAAGAATATGTTTAGACTTACGCGAGATCAATTACCAATATGAACAAGACAAATTCGTGCTACCAAAAATATATGAAGTATTACACAACCTACAGGGAGCACAATTTTTCTCCAAGCTAGATCTCACGGGAGGCTTCCACAACTTTTTAGTAGACGAAGCAAGCCAACACTTCTTCACGTTCTCGTGGAGAGGAGCGCGATACTCTTTCAAGTCAGCGCCGTTTGGCCTACACCCACTCACAGCACAATTCCAGAGAGTTATGGCAAACTTGCTCATAGACATCAAAGGAGTACAAGAGTATGTAGATGATATAATCATTGCGCGTCTTACAGAAGACGAACACCGCAAAACAGTTAGTGTAGTAATCAAAACGACTGAATGGAGCAAACTTCCGACTCAATCACAACCAATGCGCCTTCGCGGTCAAAGTCGTCAACAATCTAGGTGTGAAAGTGACCACACAGGGACTCAAAACGAATCCTGAAAAACAGAAAATAGTGATGGACTTGCCACTATCCAGAACGAACCGAGATCTGCACAAAGCGGTAGGACTGGCGAACTGTATACGCGACCATGTCCCTAACTTTGCCCACACAACTAAACACTTCCGGAACCTAATGAAAGGGAAAATTAACCAGAACATATCCATGTTATGGACACCGGAACTCAAAAAGAAGTGGGCAGAACTCAAAGAAGCCATCGCGTGCTTAGCGACACTAGCATACCCTGTTGATGGGGTACCGTTTCAAATCATGGTTTCAAATCATGAGTGACTATGGCATAGAAGGATGTTTATTCCAAGTCATCGATGGAGTCAGGAGAGATATTCTCTACTTCTCCAAAGGCTTGAATCCAGCACAACAACGCAATGACACAAACACTAAAGAGCTACCACTGGTACACAGCCTGGAATATTCTCTGAATACATCAAAGGAGGGGACATAACACAGTGGACAGATCAGAAAGCGCTCGCGCAAATGAACAGTCAACAGACGTTACACCCAATGTTAGCCAAATGAATAGCAAAAACATTCCTCCACCACTTCTCCATCATACGCGTTCCAAGCAAGGACAACCAGATGGCAGATATGTTGTCGCGTCTAAACGAAGACACTTTTCATACTAGAAAGTCAGAGGTATTATAAGATGCGAACAAAACAACACACGACAGCCAAGAGTACACCACCTTGGAAACTAGCATGCCCATAACCATATCAACTATAGACTGGATGCTACACGCCATATTCTACAAAGAAGCTGAAAGACGGTTTGGGAAATTCAAAGTAGGTCTGTTTGCATCAGCACACAATACACACAGAGAGAAATACCACAGAGAAATATCACACCAAAGATCAAAATGCGCTCCTACAGAAGTGAGCGCAGGCAGTGAAAGCAAGGGCGAACCCACCATGGGAACTCATTCTTGATGTCTTTGACAAAGACATTGAAGAGGTAACCAACATTACGATATGTGTACCATACTACCCCAATGCAACGTGGTTTCCAAAATTCTTGTCTTTCCTAGAAGAAGACCTGATGCTAGTGGAAAAAACAAACATTACTTTCCTCAAAGAAGGCAAAAAAAAAACTTGTGGCAAGACCCCATGGGTGGTCACACTAGTAGCAAAGGAGTGAAGTCTCCATACTTTGACTCAACGCGGAAACAAACTGCCATACACATTGCAGTATCACAATTAGTTCACCCTGGAGATGCCCCGCATGAAACAGAATACGAGACACATGTCAACATCATCGAGTAATACCACAACTTGGGACATTATACTCCCGAGAAAACGGTAAACAAATTGCAAACAGATGGACATGATTAGCCACAAATCCACCAACATGTACACAAGTTAATCGAAGGATGAGTATAATATCTCAAAAATAAGATACACAAAAAGGGATTCCATCCCTGACAATCAATCACAGCCGCATTCCCAGGCGATAAAATCCAAGTTGACACCAGTGGGCCACTACTGGACTCAAACAGAGGTCATACATATGTGTCAGTATGGCTAGATGTGCAATCTTCATATGTCATACTCAGACCATTGATGGACAAATCAGCGGCTAATGTAGCGCGTACGCTGGCACCAATCATGTCCGAATATGGCTTCCCACAAATCATATAGTCTGACCAAGGCACTGAATATGTTTATGACAACCTTTCAAAAGTCATCGAACAAGCGCCAATAAAACACTCAGTCTCTCGGCCGTACCAACCGGAAGTCTTAGGCGCGAACGAACGATTACATAGAGACCTCATACCACTGTTACGGAAATTCGTTGAACAAAACCCCGGTAACTGGTGTTTACGACTTCCCTTCGTACAGATGGGCCACAATCTACGCACATCAAGAAAACACAAACTACCGAGGTTTAATGTGTACTTTGGTCGTAGATAGAACCAACTTACGGTCTACAACACACCAGTGAACGCACCAAGTACAACAGTATCTTGGGAAGAGCGACTGCAAAATCTAGAAGAAACCATCAGGCCACAACTAGATAATAATGTTGCACCGTATCAAGAGAGGATGCGCGCAGCATACGATAAAAAATACCAAAAGAAGTATGTAAACTTCCAG